GCCCCTCTCCATCCCTCCCCAGCAAAGAGGCACCGGACAAGCATGGCCCCACGTGCTTCCTTCGCGGCTGCCTCTCCCGTGCAGCCCTCCTGACCGGCGCCGCCCCGGGCACGGGGGAGGCTCGGCCCCTTCCTCGGCTGGCTCTCCGGCAGCACGGGACCCTCACCCCCCCACGAGGGCACGGCCATCCCCTCGTCCTACCCCGTCCCCTCGCTCCTGTCCCTGTCCTGGTGCCACCCAAGGGTTGTCTCCCGTGGCAGCAGCCAGGGCTCATTCCCAGTTCCCAGAGCTGATCATGTGCGGGATTGCGGGATGGCAGCAGTGGCGGAGCATCCCCGGAGGGCAGCGCTCTGGGAGTCCTGCCAGGCTCTGAGGCCGCCTGGCGCCCCGGGGGAGCCGGCAAGAGCGTTCCCAGCTCTCTCCAAACGGGTCTGACAGGTTCTGTGTGTCTTTGCATGCGCAAAGCCCTTTGTGCTCAGAGCTTCCCACATCTAATTGGGATCTGTGGAGAGGTAGCGGTCGGGTCGGAACCGCGGTACCATGCCACCCATGGGGCAGCCCTCCCCAGCGCCGTCGCAGGAGACCGCCAGCACGTTCGTGGCAGCATGGTCCTGGGAGCTGGCATGTCCATCACTGCTGCAGGGGCAGCTGTAGGGCTGGTGCTCGAAGCACGGCCGGGTGCAAGGACCCCTTGGCACACGATGAGCAGAGCCGTCAGGATGGCCCGGGCTGGCTGGCATGCACCAGGCTGGGGTCCGTGTTCGTGCACCATGGGCAGGCGCGCACTGGGCCAGAGGGGGTCTGTGTTCCTGCCCCAGCTGACCCCGGCCAGGGTCTATGTTTGTGCACCATGGGCAGACGCGCACTGGGCCGGAGGGTCTGTGTTCCTGCCCTGTGGGCCAGCGTGCACCAGGCTGGGGTCCGTATTTGTGCACCATGGGCAGACGCGCACTGGGCCGGAGGGTCTGTGTTCCTGCCCTGTGGGCCAGCATGCACCAGGCTGGGGTCCGTGTTCGTGCACCATGGGCAGGCGCGCACTGGGCCAGAGGGGGTCTGTGTTCCTGCCCCAGCTGACCCCGGCCAGGGTCTATGTTTGTGCACCATGGGCAGACGTGCACCGAGCCGGACGG